TTGTTATCTCCTGTAGAAATGAGCCGAGCAAAAGATCTGGAGTGAGATTTGAAAATAACCTTTGTTATTATATGTCATTAACTCCCAAGAATCAAAACACACAGCCACTAATGACAACGGGCAAGAACAATACAGTTTCTTGAGCAGTGTGTTCCACACGTTTCCACTCTTAGCATGCACTTAAAATACAGCAATTTTAGGAGCATTTGTCATTTGCCTGAGCCGTGGAGCTAATGAGAGAGAAAAAAGCATGAAGAATTTGTATGGATGAACTCCATTTGCCCAATTTCCAACTCAAACACAATGACAGGAAAAATAAGCAATATTGTGCACAAAGCTGTGTGTTGGGTTTTTGCTTTTTGCAGTTGCTGTCGTGCAGCAGCCTGGGCTGAGTCATTATGGCACACAACAGGTATGTGCTCCTGTCAGCAGCAACCATCACCCTTGTGACATTTCCCCTGCTTCCAGCTGCTGGGGGTGATGGTAGGAAGATGTCAGGTCCTCTTCTCAGTCACAGAGGAGAGGAGGCAGTAAAAAAAAGAAGATGTCTCTTACATCATTTATTTGATTACGTTCTCCGTTTGTCAAGGCAGTGGAGCACAAAGCCCGCGTGGATTTTTGTGAAGCGCTCTGGAATCTGCTGGGTTGTAAGCACACATTTAAAAACCTCAGTAAGCAAGGGTGGCTTCGTGTCTTTAGCATGTGTTTTGCTGACTCACATGGCAGCAGGAATTGGTACGTTTAAGGTGGTGCAAATGTCTTTCCCAGAAAGCCAAATTTTCAGTTGCGTTTTTTTTTTTTTTTAAATTACAGTGGATGGAAAGTAAATAAAACCTCAGAACCTGATTCAAAAAAAAAGCCATGCATTCAATTTTGAGTTATCTGTCTTGATTTTGCTCAACCCTAGAAATAACATTCACTTTTTGGCAGAACTCTCTGACACACCACAACACTAAGTCCTATTCCTACTTTGGAGCACTGAGGAGACCAGACATCTCTTTCCTTGTTTGGGTTTTTTTTTTTTTCAGGTAAAGACATGAAAAGCAACACTGACAAAATGTATTAACATGGGATAATCTCAATGTTGCCATCAGCTGTGCACTTTAAATGGTTGAGGAAATAAAACCCTACAGCATAACGACAAATCAGCCCCGAGGTAACACTGTCACTGAGCACTGTTTGGACTGGCCAGAGGAAATTGAGGTTTTTTTAGACAATTGAGCACTATTAGAGCCTGAGTAAATGTTGTAGCTAGAAGCTGGAGTGTGTGTTAATCCAAATGTGGTTGGTATGGCATCAGCCAGTGGACCTGTACCTTATACTCACTGCTCCAGCCTTTTTCTACTCATAAAAAATAATTGTAGCACGGGGGTTTCTTTTTTTCCAAATTCAACTGTCATCACTACCGTGTTGTTAATGCAAAGAATTGCATAAATACAAAAAAAAAAAAAAAAAGCAAACACAGTTACAAGTAAATGAAGAAAACATTT